TCGTCTTACAACTCACAGTCTTGGATTTCGGAATGAGCTACCACATAGTCCATTATCAACTCGGATAGGCCAGCTGCGGTTAACTTCGTCGTAGTCGGGATAAAAATGGCCCATTTGGTCAACCGGTCCACCACTACTAAGATGGAATTGTATCCATGGGAATTCGGGAGCTCTTCAATGAAATCCATCGAAATGCTGGACCATGGCTTCGTAGCCACTTCCAGTGGTTTAAGCTCTCCATGGGGTCTCTGCCTGTTAGTCTTTGCTCTCTGACACACCGCACATCCAGCGATGTAATCTTCAACATCCTTCCTTACTCCAACCCAAACGTAGTCCCGTAGGACTAGCTCGAGAGTCTTCGCTGAGCCTGGGTGACCCGCTAGGACCGAGTCATGCCGCGTCTTCATTATCTTTAGTCGAGCATCGGCGTAGTTCGGCACATAAGTTCGACCATCGAACGTGAGGAACCCTCTTGAATTCCATCCCCCACGCAGTATTAAGGGGGACCGCGAGGTACGGCGTAGTTCGGTGACCGACCCTGGTTCCTGCACGTTATCATGACATGTTGGATGAGAGCACTTAGCACAGGTTACCCCCAATAATTCTTCTCTAACCTCCTCCACCTCTCCGTCTTCCTGTATTCCGACTATCAAATCCATAGGATCAATAAGGTCGTTCTCTCGCACTTCCTTTGTTCCTTGTAAGGCCCGAAGCAGGTGTTGTAACCCAGAGCTAGTGTCGTCAAGTTCGTCGAACTTCGGCAGGCCTTGGATAAGGTTGCTCTCCTGTACCATAGTACTTCCTTTTCCTGAGTGGTAGTCTGCTCTTCTCGACAGTCCGTCCGGCAGTGTAGCTTGTTTTCCCGGTCGATACACCATTTTAAACCTGAAGTTAGAGAGCTCTTCGACCCACCTACCCTGCCTGGGGCTAAGCTGTTTAGGTTCCATCCAGTAAGTTAAATTTAAATGATCTGTGATAACTGTAGTCTCTACCTGTAGTAGTAAGTGTCTCCTTCTCCTGAAAGCTTCAACAATAGCGAGTAGCTCCTTTTCCCCTACCGTATAGTTTAACTGCGCCGCCTGGAACGCTCCGGATTCGATGGCCACCGGATGCTCTTGTCCTAACTCGTTCACCTGCGAAATTATGAAACCCCAGCCGAAGAACGACGCATCTGTTTGTAGTAGTGTCTTCAACGAAGGGTCAAAGTGAGCCAATACTGGCGCCCTACACATCCTATCCTTCAATTCTTTAAAGGCTCTTTCCTGCTCTACTCCCCAAACAAACGGCACATCTTTCCTGGTGAGGTCATTGATCGGTTTAGCAATCTTGGAGAAGTTGGGGACAAAACGCCGATATAACTGACAACTCCCATAAATCCCCTACTCTCTCGCAAGTTCTTAGGACGGGGAAAAGATACGACAGCATCGATGTAATCCGGGTTACTGGAAATTCCCCTCTGTGAAACCACGAACCCCAGGAAGACTACCGAATCTCTCTCAAACTCGCACTTACTGGCTTTAACGAACAAATTTCGAC